AAACACTGGTTTACAATGAGAGTGAGTAACTAAGTAACCTATTCACTACTAGTAAGTAAATGTGATGCAAAAAGGCCTGTAGATTTTAAATTGTTTAACCACTATTGGTATGAAACTTATGTAGACATTTCTTTCAATAATTTTTGATTTTTCTAGTGTTTTTCTCATATGGATAGATATGACACAATTAGTTATACACTATAGTATTATGTTTAAAAAAATTCTATAAGTATAATACTTTAATTTAATAATAATGACCTACTCTAGACGTTTATTTTATATACCTACCTACATATTATATATATAGAGTTTAAACACGACCTATACTTTTATTCCTAGACTGGCCTAATTAATTTATAATAGTGTTCGGTAATTAGTAAATGAGTTATGCACTTATACCTGCTATATTGATAATAATAATGGTTCTTCAAAATCATCATGAAACATGATAATGAACAAAATCGCTGTATTTATGACCTATACTCAAAATAACTTACATTGACAAAAAAAATAATAGTTGAACTCGGTTTAGACACACAATGAACGTTTATTATATTGAAAATTCTATAAAACTAAGAAGCTATTTTGTTTTAAATTGAATTCATTTTTAAATATAAGTGAATTCTTCCGGGATAGAATGTAGGTATAATGTTACAAATAATGTACATAGATTCATAGTCAGAAGAACTTAATACAGGAAACCAGTTTTATTTTTCGAAAAATCGTTTTATTTTTAATTATGGATTTATTTGTTTTTCAATAATTTAATTATATTTTTGTACATTCTATAATGGTTTAGGCAGAGAATATAATGTCTAAGTACAAGGTAAACGACAAACAGTATTATTCATTTTTTTCGGATAATCGTGGTAATATACAAATTTAGTAATATACGATTATAACACCTAGGTATAATAAATTATATTCGTATTTTCATACTACGAATTTTAGAAAAATCTCAAATAGTTTATTGATTTATAAGGTATATTAACTGATTTAAACGTGTATACAATATGTATTCGAAATGTCATAAAAAACCTGCTCTGGGAAATGGAATTAGTCAGTAGATTACTTAAAAATGTGGGCCCATTCGCAAAATTGTACAAACGTATTTCTTTCGTATATATTATTAATATTATGTAAGTATGATATATCGAAAAATACTGATGGCATAAATTTGGAATTTTATCGAATATTTCAAATTAATTATATCAATATAAAATTTGATTTCATATTAAATAAACATGAAATATTCTGGCAAAGTTATTCTATCTTTTGTTGAATTGCATTTGCTTATTTTTAGATTTAGGGGTTATAAGTACATATAAGTACGGTATTCATGAGCTCATTGTTAATGATTTAAATTTTATATTGTTTTATAATTCTCTTTATTTTAAATTTATTCAAAGAATTAATCCTTCTTTTTTCAATTTAACTTTTCTAACTAAAGCCAGTTTTACAGTCAGTTTACTTTTTAAATCTAAAACATTTTATTTGTTGACAAATTTATAATTTATTATCTTATCTAGCTATAATATCATGGACCATGGTCAAAAAGTTTTTGTGTAACAAATATATAGGTGTATATATATATATATATATATATATTATTATTATTATTACTATATAATATATAAGTTAAATTTAAAATTAAGTTTCATTAGAATTTGAGTAAAAGAAGTGTTTGTTTAATTGAAATAATAAACGTTCTAACTTTATAAAAATAACTTTATATTATACATATGTCAATATTTATAAAATATAATATATGTTTAAATAAATAAACACGTATATAATAATTTAATAAGTATATAATTCACATAAAGAAACCTTTGATCACATTCCAGTGTCTAATAATTAAAGAAGTAAAATTAAGTAATGTATATACAGGGTGAAACAGAAATACCTAACAAATAAAAAACGAAAATTGATACATACTAGTTAAACATAAAAGAAAATTTAAGAAAATGATATGGATAATAAATAATTTAAGATTTACTTATATCTGCCAATTCTCTAAAATAATATTTTGTAAAACATTATTAGTTTTAAAATTAATTTACTTCGAAAAAATATTAATATTTAAAAATATGCTACTATAAAACCTAAATATTTACCTAAATAAATGTTTTATCATCAACATTTTTGTAAAAAGTAAATATACGAATTGGCTATTTCGAATTTTTTAAAATCAAATTAAATTAAATTATTTTTTTTAATTTTCAGCATTAAAAAATAAAAATAAAAAATGTTATACTGTACATGTGGTGCACGCGTCTATAAATTATATATAAAAATATTACCTATTTTAAAGTTTTAATTATAACAAAAGTTATTTTATTATTCAGGTAATTTTGTAACACCTTGTATATACTATAGGTACTAATGGTACTACCTATAGATGTATACACTATACAGTAAGCATTCACTTACCTAGACTAGGTGTATAATAATATAATATTATCTATGTAATGGAATATTTTTATCATTAATTTTATTATTTATTATTTATACAGTGTATTACAAAACAGGTGGGAAAGTGGGTGTTGCTCTGCTGTACAGTAGGTTACAAGTGGGTCACTGTAATAGATGGTGTGAAATTTGAATTCAATGATATAATATCATTGTGTACGAAAAACTATTTTGTGTGGAGACGATCAGTCAGCCAATGATACTATAATATTAAGGGGGGCTGCAACTCACGTATTTTTCATACGTTTTAGACCAATAAACATAGTCTAGAAGTTTATAAGTTCAACCATTTTTTCGAAATTACAATCGAACTTCGGGAAGTATGATTAATTTACTACCCGCTTTTAGTAGTTTTATAGTCGTGCAAACAAGAATATACAGTATGTCCCAAAAGTCCCGTATCACCCTTAATATCTCCATGTAAAATCACTATATTTAAACGCGGTTTTTTTTACAGTACTAAGTATGAAAATTCTGATTGAATGGCATAAAATTCATTTATTTTTTTCTTTAAATTCAAAAATTTTCAAAAAAATTTTTTACGCATTTAAGAATTTAAAATTTTTTAGATAGCCATTTTGTTGAGCATATTTTTTAAAACAGTTCAAAAAAAAAAAATACTAAAATTAAATAAAAATTGACCAAGTTAGAGCAAGTTATGTTTTTGAATAATTGTAGTAAAAAAATAAATTAGGAACGCAAAAGTATTGTCGTGTGCTGAAATTAGATATTTCATTATTGAAATGTGAAACAATAATTTATTTTTTACTACAATTATTCAAAAACATAACTTGCTCTAACTTGGTCAATTTTTATTTAGTTTTAGTATTTTTTTTTTTTTTGAACTGTTTTAAAAAATATGCTCAACAAAATGGCTATCTTAAAAATTCAAAATTATTAAATAAGTAAAAAAATTTTTTGAAAATTTTTGAATTTAAAGAAAAAAAATAAATGAATTTTATGCCATTCAATCAGAATTTTCATACTTAGTACTGTAAAAAAAACCGCGTTTAAATATAGTGATTTTACATGGAGATATTAAGGGTGATACGGGACTTTTGGGACATACTGTATTTCATTTTTCACGGTGTATTGACATGTGCTTGCGCGTGTGTAAGTTGCTTCCGGCGCGGTTGCCCGACTCGACGTGCAGCGATTCTCGGAAACCATAACGGAGTACGCACACTAATGTTCATTTACTACTTACACACAGACACAGTATTAATTTATATGTCACATTAATTGCCTAAATAGTATTCCTTAAAATATGCTACGGTGCAGCCCCCTTAAGTATAATATTTGATGATATTATTGTTAATAAAGTAATTTATTTACCTATTTTGTGGAAATTAGTTTTATGTATTAGCTATAAAAGTTGAAAATTGTATACATTTTTAACTGAAAAATCGTTTTTAAATTTTAAATTTGATAAAGTTTGTCGAAATTGTGCCAATGTATTTTAAATACTTTTCAACTGGTATTATAAAAATATATCCAGGGGCCTTGTATTACATTTTCACGCTTTTTGATACAAAAAATAAAATTATATTGTTATTTATAAAAAAAAAAACTAAAAAAATCGAAAATTGAAAAGGTCCGTTAACAGCTCAAAACAAGTCAAAATATTCTGAAAACTCTATTGTATATAGATTTTTCCGTCGCTTTTAAAAACTATTGGGAATTTTACTTCCTCAATGCACTAACTAGATTTACTTTTCAATATTTTTAAAATGTTATCAAGTATATAGGAATTGATAAAATAAACATATAGTATAAATTTCAAGTACCTATCTTTATTCGTTTTTTAATTACAACAAAATAAAAAAATCGCTAGATGAGAAATCCAATATTGTACAAATTTGGACATAATAATTTTATTTGACTTTCCTGTTGACAATTTTTTTTGAGTTCCTAAACCTTAATGTAGACATACTTATGAGGTATTTTGTAATTTTAAATTTGGATCTCTTCAATGCACCAACTAGATTCCCTTTCCCATCTAACAATATAGGTACTGTATTTCGACTACTTATCGTGTACACAGACACAAATAATAAAGATAATAATAAAAAAAACACACCATTATAATATTATAATCAATGCATTCATCTCTCTGTTTAAAATCTAAAATATATATATAGGTATTAACTGAATACATGTATTACTTAATTTTGTTTCACTCAAAAAGTTAGATATGTGACTAATTTGTAGTACCTCTTGAAAAATAATGCTTACATAATAATATGTTTACAAACAGGTGAACAATAGTTCAACCTTAGTTATAATAATAATTGCAGGCTTTATAATATTATACATACATTTGTATACCTATATATAATATATACATTTGTAGGTAAATATACTATTCAATTTGTACTAAATATGCATAAAAACGTAATAAATTGCACATATTTTATTAGAATATTTTAATTTTATTTAATCACATCTAATACCGTTATTATAACACTTATATAACTATAAATAATTTATATGTATATATTTTTTTTCCAGAGAAATTGTGATAAACTATGCAAAGTATTATATTCGATTATGCAGTATTTCTACTGCTGATTGGGTTGTCATTCGCAGTATTAATTTATAGTAAAATATCCGGCCCCAAAGAACAGACGAAAGCGGACTATGTGTTCGCGTCGAAAGGGTCGGTTTCGATGGGAGCGATGCTCCTATCCATTGCACGTGGATTTCTGGGTGTCAAAGTCTTCCTCGGTAAATATGTTTTACTTTCATAAGTACCACCTTTACTCTTAAGTTTTTTTTTGTTACTACCTATAATTTAAAGGCATCATCTGCATGGTTATTAGCCTTTTACTCTAGGGGGGTAAGGTTGGTTCAAAATTCGTGTTTATGTGATTTGTTATTAAAACCCGGGTGGTCACCCATCCGGGGACTAGTGACATTGGCTGATGCTTGGTCTTAGAACACGTTTATGACTGATGCCAACCACTGCGCCACACCAGGTCACAGTCTTTGGTTGTATCTGATATTAAAGTTCATTATATATTATAATACTAATGAAGGTATAAACTTTCAAATTTCAAGTCAAAATAAACCTGTTTGTTTAATATGTAAATAATATTTATTCAAACAAACATACATTTAGCCATATAAAAAAATATTGAAAAATCTTGGTTGAAATTTTTTCATACTAATATTACTAAAAAAAAGTCAATTTTGAATTATTTGTATAGCATATTATACATTATATTATTTAACTAACACGAAAAAATTGTTCTTAATATTTATTACAATTTAAGTCATAATTCATACCTATTATAAATGTCATTCATTACATAATACTTTATGAGATACCTAAGGATTATTATGCTATGATAATAATTTATTAAAAGTATTAAGTAGGTAACTACTATACAACTACCTACTTCAATTTTTTTTAAAAAATAAGTTATGTAATAATATGTTATTCCACTCATTTCCTAGTTATCCACGAAATACTATCACAATATAATATTAAAATAAATAGTTGATCTTAAAAATATATTTTTCTTTTATAAGACTGATTATTTTATGTTATTTAAAAATATTAATTAAAACATTTTGTTTTTTACAGGGTATCCGTCCGAATTTTACTATAGAGGAAGCGGAATGTGGGAAACCCTGTACGGAATGTCTCTAGCATTCCCTTTGGTTTTATATTTTTTCCTACCGGTATATTTCAATCTCGGAATTACTTCAGTTTATCAGGTGAGTTTTAGATATTTTTAAGCCGTATAAAGCTTAAAATATTATAAGACTTAATATTCAGACGATTGTTTGGAGACACCAGCGAATACAACTTTTTTAAATAATTATATAATATATTTTAGTCTGTTACACTAAATAATTATTTACTGTTATCATAAAATGCAAATTATATTATTCTTGAAGTGCCTGTCTATCAAACTATAAGCATCATAATTATTATTATACCCTTCGTGTACCTATGTTTATTTACAAATTTTAATTTTTGTCTATTTATAGTACTTAGATATGCGATTCAAATCAAGACTTGTGAGGAGGCTTGCGTCTGGTACATATTTTATTAGAAGTATACTTAACCTTGGTGTAACAGTTTTCACACCGTGCGTTGCCTTAAAAACTGTGATGGGATTGCCTTATTGGTTTTCAATCATCTTAATTACATCCATTGCCATTGTTTTCACACTACTGGTGAGACAAATTTTATTTATTACTAAATAACTCATTTTTAATCTAACGTACACTATACCAAACAAATTACAAAATATATGATGTTGTAGATTTATTATTCATCATAGGGACCGTAAATCGTTTGCATATCACTGTTGTTCATTTTGACCTTTTTTGTATGACATTTGCACATCGTTCAATTTTTCAGTTATTTATCGTTTGTGCGTCATCCAAGTTAACCCACTTACGTCAAATATGATAGTACATAATTTGCGTATCAGCGTATTTAACAATATAACTAGAAAACTTTAGGAGTATTCAAAAGTGCAAGTTACTTACTAACTTTCAGAAAATTTGACACTTTTTGTATTCAGTTTTTAAATATTGAGTTTGTATTACTATTTAAAAATATAAATAGGATTAAACGACTGAAGTTTACGGGTGACCCATAACCATGACTAACCATAGATTTTTACCACAATATGTATATTATGTATTATGATTGTGAGTTACGACTATTATTTACAATTTAATTTTGAATAAGCCAATATATTTTTAATTTTATATACCTACACTTGTTATAGTATGTGTGAATTATAACAATTGTCAAATGCTCAAGTTCATCCAGAATATATTGGTATTAAACGTTTTTGTAATATTTAATGTGCAACTTGTGTAGGTACTTTTCAATAGGTATATTTTTTTATACTGTTCTATTGTTTGATAAGTTGATAATCGGCCACTGATGTACAAATGAAGTACAATATTTTGGCACAGCTAAACAGACGATATGCAAACTATGACCGGCGATTATAATTACACCCGAGTAATTCAAATGAGTTTAGCACATCATAAGGCCATAAATGTAAGCTACCGCTATAGTTAATTATGAATAGGTAATATAAATTATCTATAATTATTTTATAGCTTATTAATATAAACTCCTATGTGATAATATAACTTATAAAATGCATAATCTGAATTTTAAAAATATAGTAGTTTATCACAGTGGCGCCGAAACCAAAAAAATGAGGTAGGGCTAACTTTCAAAATTATGAGACACCACCACCCCCAGACCAATAATATTTGACGTTTACAAAAAATATTTGATTCACCAGTATAGTTTCAATCTATAACACATTTTTAGATTCTGAGTGAAACGATGAATGTATTGATTTTACAATGATGTGTGTTTTTCTATTTTTTTATTTTTTTATTTTTTTATTTTTGTGTCTGTGTACACGATAAGTAGTCGAAATAATGCTTCGATTTTCGACTTCAGTATCTTGTTCGATTGGAAAGTGAATATCGTTGGTGTATTGAGAAGGTTAATTTAGGAGGTTTAAAATTCACAGTACTTTTCAAAAGCGCCAAGAAAAACAAAAGAAAAATTAAGGAAAAATGGGAATTTTTACCCAAAATCGATTTTTCAGAAAATTGAATTTGGTTTTTGGTGTAACTTTAAAACAAATGACCTTAGATACATGAAATTTTCACTGGTTGTTTATATTTGCATTTTCTATACACGATAACATTTTCAAAATATTTTGATTTATTTTGAACTGTTTAGGGACATTTTCATTTTTCATTTTTTTTTTAGTTTTTTTTTCTAGAAATATCAATAAAATTTTATTTGTCGGTTAAAAAAACTTGAAAATTTAATAGAAGGCCCTAGTATATTGTTTCAAAGGCAGATGAAAAATATTAAAAATCGTTAGTCACAGTTTTTTTTTTATAAGCATTTATGGTTCAAAAATTGACAAAATATGGAAAATTAGCAAATTATTTTGAGTTAAGAATTCGTAAAAATTTTTCTTTTTAAATCTAAGATTTGAAAATGTAATACAAGATTACTCATAAGTTTGTCTACCTTTATCAATAAAAAAATCTCTACCGGACAGTCAAATTAAATTTTTATGAGCGTTTGAAATTGAATGTTCACTCGATATCTCATGTAGCGATTTCCTTATTTTGTTGTTATTCATAAACGAATAACTATAGATACATGAAAATTTCACTGAATGTTTATATTAGTATTTTCTATACACCATACAATTTTGAAAATATTTTGATTCTTTTTGAGCTGTTTACGGATATTTTCATTTTTCAATTTTTTTAGTTTTTTTTTCTATGAATATCAATAAAGTTTTATCTGTTGGGCCAAAAAGTGTAAAAATTTAATACAAGGCTCCTGGTATATTGTTACAATATCAGTTGAAAAATATTAAAAATACATAGGCACAATTTTTTTTTATAAGCATTTAAACATCGAATTTTGACAGAATTTTTCAAAATCTCGAAAATTGTTAATCATCGTAATTAATAAATTATAAAATGTTCAGTTTTTATAGCTAAGGATTGGAAATTTAAAACAAGATTTCACGTAAGTAGTTAATTCTCTTACCGAAAAATCTAAAAAATATACAATCACAGTTTATTTTTATAGTCATTTTATGTTCAAATTTGGACGAAATTACATATTAAAAAACCTAGTTATTTTATTGTGATTATATAATATTATTCGTGGGTACCTACTTGAAACTTCTAAAGTGTACTATTATATATCTATGATAGTATCAGGGTTTGTTATTGATGTTGATGTATAACGTGTTATAAGTACCTAATGGATATTGTGATAAATTAATATGATTAATTTGGAATTTATTATAGGTCAATTTTTTTTTAATACCATAGATATGTATATAATTTGTCTTAAACCTAGACTGACATACCGTCATCGCTCAGAATCGTTTTTCTTATACAATGATATTGTATCATTGAATTCAAATTTAATAGCATCCATTATACAGTGACCCACTTGTAACCTACTGTACAGCAGAGCGACATCCACTTACCCACCTTTATATTAGGTAAACCTTATCAGTAATCGTTATACATACTTTTATTTTGGATTGAAATTATACCAACATATTATACATAATTCCAAATTGACTTACTAGACACTAGTTATGTTTTAAAATATAACTTATAAATATTTTATGCTTACTATGGTTTTCAGGTTAACAAGATAATTATTAGCACTACCACAAATTAAGTTCTAACTATTAGGTAGTAGGTATTATACGTATGCTATGCTATTATGTGTATATGCAATGCTTCCACTGATATGCTTTTTTTTATTTGATCATTGAATAGACAACGACCGTGTTACCTAGCATACTATATTTACTAACTAATTATCATGGTTTTAATTATTCTGTATTTAGGCTGTAGATTGCCTGTAAGGCTGTAAAGGCGTAGGCTACAAAAATAAGTCCAGGTATAAGTAACTCGTTGACACAATCACTGAACCACCAAACCACCCACCCACCACCTAAATATTATGAGGTAGGGCATCCGCCCTACCTGAATATAGGGTTCGGCGCCACTGGTTTATCAATTATTCACAATGCTCTTTATTATTAAGACAATGAATAATGATAAACATTAATACAATAATATTATAATTCAATAAACCTAACTAAATCTAACATAAACTTACCTTTTTTATCAACTCCTAATATTGGATTTTTTTTTCATTCCAACTATTTTTTTTATAAAATTATTTTGTAGGTACCTACCCCATTTTTGTATGTGACGTTTAAGAAAATAAAAGTTTAAAATAAGAATGTCACTATAAAAAGTTAATACGTCCTTCAATTTTCTGATATAAATTAACATTTTAATGAACTATAAAAGAATAATGAAATACAATTTACGTAGTTTCACTTGAATAAATACAGGATTATTAAAATGATTTCGAAATTCCATATTTTGCAAAAAGTAAATCCGTTAAATGGTTTTTCTTTTTTAAATAAACATTAAGATAAAATAAAATAAAAACAATAATAATACTAATAATTCCTATAAAAGAATAGGTAACAGCTATTTTAATAACTTCATAACTAAACTATGTTCATATTTCGTTTAAAATAAAACATTATGTGATCCAACGGCCAACATAATAGTATTATAATCTTTTTAAAAATAATTATGACATTCACTTTTAAAGGATTTATGATAAATTAATGAAATTCAATGAAAAATAAAATATATTATACTTTATTGTTGAAGATATTTGTATGCACTTCATAATTCCTCTGCAATATAGATACAATCATCCATATGGTTATAAATCGATATTTAGTAGGTATATAGTAATTAAATTAATTTTTTTTGAAAAATGTAATATTACATTTAACATTAGGTTTGCAGTAATTTTTATCAATTTGATATTTTGATTATGTCATTGACTTTGGGCAGTCATGCACTAAATTATTAATAACTATATTGTTATATTGTTTATCAATTATTATATTAGCCACCTAATCAATAACTATTTCATTATTACTATTAAGCACTAATATGTTATACGAATCAATGTTACAATCTATGTTGGTGTTACATCATATTGTTATTCTTGAACTTTGGATTACGGTAACATTTAGAAAGCAAATAAATTGCACTAATTGTTAATTTTACTCTACACGTTTATGTGTGGGATATATTTTATTTTGTTTGCAGAAAATAACAGTTGAAACTTTTAAAGTTTTCATAGACAAAATGGAATGTACGTGTAGTGTAATTGAAATTGTATTAACCTCTAATAGCAGTTTTCCTTTGATAACTAAACAAGTTTGCGTTAATAAAATAAACATAATACCGTTATGTACCACAAAATGTGGTGTTAAATTGTAATACCTTTAGTATACCTTGATACTTGAGTAACTTGCATACCATGACAATTATGGATTCAAAATAGTGATAAAGTTTTATCATTAGTTTTAGGAAAACTTTTAGTTTACAATTTTTATAACATTAACATTTTGTATAATGACAAAAATTTTCGATTTTAATAAATATGAATAAATATGAACTATTTGTTCATAGTTCGTTCAAGTTCATTATACTAAATTTATTCAGTTTATTATAATAAATATAATAATATTTGTGAATTCATTGATGAGACAATTTAATGAATGAGTATATAGTATTTGAAAGTTATCAAAATATCAAATGATATATTATTATAATGCTACAAGTTAGTAAGATACTAAGATCTACTGTTAACACCCAAAAATATATTATGAACTAATAATCTAGTAGGTATACCTACATATTATTATTATATTTTCAAACAGTCAAAACTAGTTAAAATGAAGATCTATATATATATATATTTAAGTAAGATTTAAAGTATATCACTATATTACACATAATATGTTAAGTAGGTACTGTACTTTTTAATTACTATATAGTAATTTAGAGGGTATTGGTATGCGAATAATAATTCGTATCTATTTTATCAATTAACTAATAGACTATAATATAGTGCCTACCTACCTATAAACTATATTATGGCCTTCACGAAACACGTAGGTTTAATGTACTTAATATAAAACCAATGAAATAATAAAAATTATAGTTAAATACAAATACCGTTCTGTTAGTTATATTTTTACTCGTTAAATTTATAAACGAATATTTTAGGTAATTCCATAATTATTGATATAAAGTTATTATTTTATTCTCCCCGTTTCATGGTCGACCACCGGGGGGGGGGGGGGGGTATTAATATTACTATAACTAATATTAGATTATCTTGCCCTGGATGAGTTTGTATACTGCGGGAATGCTTGTCCAATTTAATTTATTTTTAAAAACGCCAAATTTGTACTCTATTATTATAACATTATCTTTACGTACGCAGGCAACCATTCAAATTAAAAAATAATATCTGACAATATATTTTGAACTAAGTCAATATTTTGAACTCTGTGATCGTTATTTTAGGGAGGTCTGAGATCAGCTATCCTTGCAGACGCCGTACAGAGTTTAGTGATGATCGGTTGCAGCATAGTGATCATTATTCACGGATTCTTTATAGCTAAAGGTCCACTGAATGTATTCGAAGTGACCAAGGAACGGGACAGGCTGGACTTTTTCAAGTATGTGTAGATAATCAATCACCTGGATCCATAAGACCAGTGTTTAACGATCAGCATTTTGTGTTATTTCAGTTTCAACATGGACCCCACTCTTCGTGTGTCGACGGTGTCCGCCACTCTTGGCCAGCTGTTCATGTCGCTTTCGATGTTCGGATGCCAACAAAATTTCGTTCAACGCTACTTTAGTATGGACTCTCAGAAACAAGTTGAAAAGTAATTAAATGCGAACCGTTTTTATATTCAAAATGGCAGCCATATGTTTATGTTTGGTTAGGGCATTTCTCCAAATTCGTAACGTTTGCCTAGGGCTTTGTGGCTGACCATACCGTTGATGATATTCCTCTTCAGTCTATCGTGGATTGTCGGTATGGTGATATTCACGGTGTACGCTGATTGCGATCCTCGAGCACTTGGATACATATCGGAGATCGACGAGATCATACCTTTTTATATTGAAGACAGATTTTACTTTTTGCCGGGTTTCATGGGACTCGTATTGGCCAGCTTATTCAACAGTGGACTCAGGTAAATCAATTTAATTTGTCATAATATTAGTTATTACTAAATATCATATTTCTCCCTACGTGTCCAATAACGGAACTTTGATTTACAGTATATTAGTGTCCAACTTAAATTCAATCTCGACTGTTGCTTGGGAAGATTTTGTATCTCAAATACCAATATTCAAAGGTGCCACTGAAAAGAACCAATTGTGGTGCATTAAAAGCATAAGTAAGTCGTAAATCTGATGTATTAATCTAACCTTAAAATTGTTTTATAAGAAACTACTATTAGGTAGCTAACCAAAAATACATTTTACAATAATTTAAAATAAAGCAATAATTATATATAATATATCGGCATATCGCTAATAATATTTATTTGTTTTTAGGTGTAATTACTGGTTTTATAGTTATGGGTGTTGCGTTTATTGTCGCACAATCTTCAGGTGTTATTGATGCTTCTCAGCTAATGACATCAGCAACTAGTGGACCTCTTTTAGGAGTTTTTGTTTTAGCTATGTTTTTCCCATCGACGAATTGGAAAGTGAGTACCTACATGAGAAATTTTATTGACTAATTTTGAATTCAATCAAAATAAAAATGTATTTTCTTATTAATTATGAACTATTTCTTTGTTATATCAATATAATTCATAATATTTGCTTAGATTATAAATACAATTTTATGGTCATAAGTTTATGACTCATAACATGTATAAGCATTTCAATCAATTGTTTAGTACGTAGATAATACGTAGGTAGGGAAATTTAAAATAAAGATACGCAATTCTTAAAATCGATCAACAGTTTTAAAATATTAAATTATTCCATAAAACAAATACAATGATCATCAATCTTAACCCTGTTGTACCTTAGTCATCATCACAATATTGCATTTAAAAAAAATATGTAGGTATGAACAGTTCATAGTTACTATGCACCATTGCAATAGGTAATTATTCAGTTGAAATTGTGCCTTGACAATGATCGGGACATTTAAGCAACATTTTCCTACGTATTAAAACTACTTTTGCACCTACAGTTTAATTCACACTTATATAGGTTATAATAGATTACTTTCATTTTTGGTTAAGCATAATTATTATATATATTATTTAATGAACTCAACAATAATTTAGGTATACCTACATTCACGGTGTTTAGACTTTAGAGATGGTATGATAGTTTATAATATAAGTAAATAATTGTTTCTGCACTTAGCAAGTAATACTCTAATAAAATTTTATTTGTCAATCAAATTTTAAAAAGATACATTATTGCGTTGTATAATTTAGAACCATATCCAAAACTATTTTAATTCTACACATTAGGTGTACAATGGACATCATAGATGCAGTTTATATATTTTATTTTTAATATTTCTGAATTAATATATTTTTTTTTTTATTTAAACAGGGTGCTGCAGCTGGTATGATATCTAGTCACTTGATGACCCTGTTTATTGTACTTGGATCGTTATCTATCGCCAAAGAACCTAATTATCTTCCAGTGTCCACTGAAGGATGTACGAATACGACGTTTTCGCCACACATTGAGCCGATTTTTGATATCCAGTATAATCAATACAAAATGAGCTTTTTGAATAAAACCCACGACGACATTTCCAGTGTCCTGTCGACGCCTGAAGTTGAATCGTCCTCCACAGAGTAAGCATACCTGCAATATTATACAAACTACCTATTTTATACTATAAGTTAATTTTACTTTATAAATCTCCATGAGTCATTTAAGTGAAGAATAAGCATGGATGAACAGTCGATAAACACTGTTATCATAAGTTGTTTGATCCGAGACTTGGACGTTGATATATTATAATATAAATATATTAATAATATAAATCATATAAAAGCACCGATAGTTTAAATTTTTAAATTTTTATTTTCAGCGATATACTGACAATGTTGTACTCGATAACGTATATGTACTACTCATTATTGGGCACATTTGTAACAGTCTTCGTCGGTGTCATAGTCAGCTACATGACAGGTAAAAACAAAACAGATACCAATAATTACATTCAGATCAATTGAAATGTACGATTTATTGGCGATTGCACATTTCGTACATCATACCGTTGGTGATTGTGTTTACTTTATATTTATACTTATAACTCATTTTATTGAATGAAAAACATATATTATCTAAGTTATTTTATAATATTATTATCAAATATGTTTGCTTGATTGTTGTCTATGTTATTTTTATGTTTCTAGAACCATTAAATTAGATCTGAAACAAACAAAGTTTTATATTAAAAAAACTAAAACTGATAATTATTTTAACTTGTGGCATTATAGTAATATAGTAATTTGTTTAACCTGATACAAAATATCTAGACCATTACAATGTAATGAGTAAAACGAATAATCATCTAACCCAGCAGTTTTTAACCTTTTGTAGATCGCGGGTCCCTGATGAAAGATTTTTAGAAATCGCGGACCCCCTTACCAATTTTTTTATAAAACATCTCATGTTATCATAACCAAAATTTTAATAATTATTTTATATTACATTAGTAGACAACAAAACATACACATTTCCAATTATTTTTATTACAATTAATTTTTTATAAAAATTTAATATAAAACTATAATTGAGTACGATACTACGATCGATCAACTGCAATTATAGTGGTAGTAAATATAAGACTGCCGAGACTACAGTGCTGTACGCATGTACATTTCGTATGAACAAGAAAAACTGATTATCTACTTAATAAATACTAATAATACAATTATTTGGTGTAGAATCTACATATTATATATGCAAAAAATAATAATAATCCAATAATATTGTAATAATGTACTCTGTCACTTATTGATGTACCTATGCTATGTGTTGAATCTGCCGCGGACCCCCGACATGAGTATCGCGGACCCCCAAGGGGCCCCAGGCCACAGGTTAAGAACCGCTGATCTAACCTATTGAATTTATGGTAATATTATAATATTACAAGAATTACAAACCATGACGAAATACAGCTTCATATTAAAATGATAGATCGGTCTTAAATCGTACTTAGGGTTATATCTACATTTGAATTAAATATCTAAAAGATATAATATTATAATATATTTGACACTTCTGAAATTTAAATTTGTGACAATATTTAATCCTGTAATGTAACTGTATATAGTTAAAATATAAACATAACTAATTAATAGTTAATCTTCATTAATTATGAATTATGGTACCTAGGTATTTGAATTGGTATTTTTATTTTGTGCCTTTAAGGTATTGATATTGGTATTTAGATATTGGTTTATTTTCTACTTACTACCTCCTAGTTACTTATAAAGTGAAATATTGAACTTACATGTCATAATATTTTTTATTATTACTCTGGTACTTTTATTAAACGAATACCAATATGTAATCTTAAAAATGTTTTGATTTTAATAATCTGTCAAATTTGGATGTTATTGAGTATTGTAAATTATAATAATGTATGTGTTTACAAAGAAAAACAATTTTTTGAGGGGAAGCAGGAATGAAGAATCATTCAAAAGTATTAGGTATGCAGTGACATTTATTGATAATCCGTATATCAAATGTCCTATGTTTAGCTCAATAGGTATTATGCAGTACATTACTGTGATTCTTAGATTTTTTAAATTTGATGATAATTAATTTGTATGAAAGTGTTAAGGTTTACCTAAAAGGTCTTTAAAGATTTTTTCATATAAATTAATATTATAATTCTACAAGTCGAGGTACCGAAGTCAAGTTAATTAAATAGCGCCTAATCACCGTAGAATTTGAACTATTTATATTGGAAATAATAATTATTATTATTACGAATCATGAATAATAAGGTGAAAAAAAACGATTAGACTCTATATCTTGTCTATACATATATTTAATAACCTATACATATTCGCCTATGAGTGATGATAAACCAATTTTGGTTTTAATTTTAAATTTTAATCCTATATTTCGTAAATATAATATGATATATAATCATTATTTTATGCTTTTGTCAGACGTCAGCATGTATTGTCAATATTAACCGTACCTTATAATGTTTAAATGAACTGTTTCACAATTTCAGCCATACGGACTGGTGATGACATACAATATCATCCACTTGGTTATGAACCTATACTATAGATTTTAAGACTAACCTTGTAAAAACATGGCTACATGTCAATGCTTTTATTTAGTTGTATTTTTTTCATATAGGTACTGATAAATATTTTTTTTATTTATTTCGTTTTTATTTGACGAGAAGGTGCATTATTGTAGACCCAGCATCGTTTTCGTTCATTTTTTTTTTTTTTACTTAAGAATATGTTTGTTTTTGTACATAAGAATAATTAAAATTGAAATATTTTTGACTATTTATTGTATACTTGTCTCTCTATTCTAATCGATAATAGAATCAGTTAATGTCTGCACTGTCCTTAAATTATTTTTTCACATTTATATAATATATAAAATTGATACATATTATGTATCAATATACACATTTTTACTACGTTCCACACTTACACATTTAACGCTAATTTTACTAATTCATTTTCCAATTTTTTTTTCTGATGGTAAAATTTATTTTGAAAGTCATACATTTAAGTAAAATATCTTTCTGAACAATTAATATGAATTATCTGATTTTAAGTATCAAATATATAATCAATAGATCGTTTATGACATTTAACGTTTGGTTAAGTATTACAGTGAAACTTACTTGAATTTCTCGATAAGTCGAACCGTCTACGTCATTTTTTAGTTATGGTTTATAACTCAAATTATTCGTTAAAAAACGTAGATGAAGTGAATACTGTATACACGATTAACAATCTAATCCTAATTTAATGCTAATTGACACAGCTTAAGAATTCATAGATGAATGGCCGATATTTAATTAACGTTAATATATTCTAAATTATTAGTACATTTGTATTCATTAATGATACATTAAAATATGTCAATATATAACAAAACTATCTAAGTATATTTTTCTAAAACAGACTTATATCACGATAAATTCAATAAATATTTCTAAATCAATATAAAAGTGTTATGGATTTTTTTTAATTACAACTAGGTAGTGAATATACTTTTCTTATTTTAATAAATATATATATAGATTTAGGGTAATTTAAGTAAATAAGTAATAAACAAAAATCTTTGTGTTGTCTAATCAAATAATAAATTTTCTAAAACTAGATTTTTTTCCACGATCGATTCGAGTTATTAAGGTTTCACTGTAATTACCTACTTAAGTAGGTCCCTATTCCAGACAAGTGAGGTAAGGTCCAACCTAGGAATGTATGTATTAGTTTTATAATTAAAAATACTAGATACTTACTGAGTAACAACTCTATACTTGCATTAGGAAAACGGTACCTACCGTTGTCATTTTGTCAACATTAATTTTCATTTGCCTGTATGATTAGATGGAATTGATGTTGTAAAATAGCAACCGTTGTAAGATTGAACATTTTCGACGAGTTATCGTTTTTAAGTAACCGATAACGTGGTTAAAATATTGTCGGACATGCTTCGTAAAGGTTAAAGCCGGGTTCACACTACACCGTGTCGTGTAAAATAATCATGGTTACCACAGTTACCAAGCAATGTTTACCAAACAATTGTTACGGTTCGGTACGGTTAATACTACGAATACCAAGATAGTACCTAGTACCGTTCCGAACCATAAAAATTGTTTGGTAAACATCGCTTGGTAATTGTGGTAACCATGTTTATTTTACACGACACGGTGTAGTGTGAACTCAGCTTAAGTCATACTGAACGAACTGAAGAGATTAGGAATAATGTCGTTCTGTTCTTGAAAAAATCCCTACCGTTGTACAGAAATATCGTAAGAGAATCTTCGTAGAGGACTACAGAAGAGCAGTTTTCTCAAGTAATAATGAGGCACGATACGTTATCTTAAAATAAGGTTTTATTGTGGTTTAATCTATTTTAAATTATATTAATTTCTTTAAATCTAAAATATAATATGTGTCGTTTTCTGAAGAAAGATGTCCTTTGTGTGTAGAAATTGATGTTGGAATACCTAATCGGTAGGTATTAATACTTTTTTTTGGGTTACACAGTTCTTTCACATCGTTGGATGAATCCGCAATTAAAAGTGTACTTTACTGAGAATAATAAAAGTGAATTCTTAATTTGTAATAATGAATTATTTTTTTACGAACAGTTTGAATGTTATTAGGCTATTAGCATTGTTTTTTTTACTTTTTTTTATTGTTGCCCTTGGGTCCTTGACATTTATTTACCAAATACGGATTGAAAATTAAAACAACGTTAATACATACACATATGTCATGATTCAAAAGACTTACTACTATCAGTAATGAGTTAATACAATTTGTTGTGTAAGTTGGCAAGAAAACCAATTTGATGGAGGTCGGGAGATAGTTTCGGGGTCCTGTTTGAGTGATTCCGTAGCCAACGATTTCGGAAGCTTATTGAATTTTCTCTGTCCATAATTAGCATAATAGTATTATTTGATCTATTAAGTTCACCAAGTTTCCCGTTGTTTTCAAAAATAATATATTATGATGATTAGTAGTATTTATAGTTTTTATTTTTGATTGTGATAATATTTTACATTTTATATAATATTGTCTATATGCTGGAAAATAAGTTTAGGTCTAGCTTATGTAACACCTATAAAAGACCCCTGTAAGAATGAGAGTTATTGAGGATCGTATTTGTTTTATGAAATTAATTACAATTCGAACTTACATCCGGAACATCCAATATCTGATTTCTGGTTGATCCCTTTAATCGCTATGTATACTTACGTCTGGGATGCTTGTTGTTTGAGTTCAATTTAGTAAGGTTTTGTTACATCCGTTTGAATGATAATTGTTTTGATAGTGGTATTGACTTATTATCAAATAACAGGAAATTGAAAAGAAAGGTGATGGCTGATAGCCGAGAGTCCAGCGAGATAAGTTCATAAACATATGAGGTATATGTAATGCAATACATATCGATTAGATTACTCCGTTTTTTCAATTATTGCAAGGTTAGAGGTTTGTTGAATCTCCAGTGTGTTGAACGTAGTTGAAAATAAATACGGTCACGTGGGTTCCACTCAGCTCTTCCAAAAATACTTGATACATTTTTTTTTTTATTTTAAATAAAATTGTTGACGTATTAAAATATATACTACCGTATTCAACTACTGTTGAGATATTTATATTAAAGTACGTGTGTTACGAAAAGCATTCATAATTTCAAGGAATATAATATTATACTTGTACCTATACTTGGATAGGTATTATAAAGCAAAGATTTGAATTTTAAACTAAGGTTACTAAAAAAATATATAAGTAAACAAACCATAGAATATATAATACATTTTTCAAATCTCTATTCTTAATAATTCCTACGAACACTTAAACATTACAAAAAATATATATTAATATTAAGAAATACTTTAGAAAAGCTATAATTTCTTATTAATGCTTACAATAACATACAATACTTAATCATTATTATTGTAACAATTTAAAACCCTCAGTCTTACAAAACGAATGATTAGAGAATAACTATTGACTAATATCCACAGCTACTGCATCCAGTTTATACTTACTTTATAACGGATTATTTGTTTGTTTCGAAATAATTCAAAAATTTACGTTGAACACTATCTTACTAGGTACCTGCATAAAAGTAAAAACTATTTCATTATTATTATTTCTTTAATACTTATAAATTATTAAAGGTTTCATGCACTTTAATGTTTTTGAGTCTAACCCGACAATGATAATAAATTACTCAATATATTATCTTTATCTTTAATTTCATATAAATTATATTATTTATTTAAACACGGACATCATCATAATATATAATAATATGTTGGAATTATATTATTATATGTGTATTCAACTCAAGTGTATTATTGTTATCTTATTTTAATTTTGAGTGCGTGATAAAATTTGATTTAAAAACGACTCTACACTTTAAACGTTAGGTAGTTATTTATTTCTGTTGATCTAACTTACTGTGTAGATAATAATTGTACCTACAGTTTGAATAGATACGCTTCAATACGTAATTAACAAAACTCAGTTCATTAAACATTTTTAAATTGTAGAACAATGAATAGTAGATACTGTGTTATTAATATACCTCATGTATAGACATCGAATGTTGGTCCATTGTTAAGTTGGTGACTGGTGTAGGTATTAAGTATAATGATTAATAATGCAAATTAGGTGTAACCATTGATTATTTTAAAACCGGAATTATTTTAAATCATTGCATTCGATAAACGACTCTTAAGAAAAGCTTGGATTACGATAACACGTGTTTATAAGAAGTAAATAAAATATAACCCAACCTTGTAATAGAGTATTTTAAATAGTGAAAACTATAAAAGTTCTATATTAAAACGGTTTTAGTAAACACCGAACATTAAGAAACATTTGTATTAAACGTTCGTAAAAAAGTCATTTTTCAGAATTTTCCGTTTTTAAAATTTGGTCATAATTTATAGATTTATAAAAATTCAACTGAAAAAAATATCAAATTTACAAAATTATATAATCAATGTAAAAATTGTAAAATTTCGAAAACGAATGCACCATTAATATTTTTCCATTTTTTCTCTAATAATGAATTTTCCTCAGGCATAGAACTACTGCAAAAATCAAAATAACACCTTTTTTATACCATATAGATGACATGTCTGAAAAAAAAAACATATAACATATAAAATATTAAAATCAATTTAATTATTATTCATTCCAAATTCAAAAAAACTTAAATACTTTCACTAAATAATATACTTTAAATCTATTTTATTTTTAATGGTGTTTATAACTTATATTATATCGGTTTAACTCCAAAAACTAAAATAATAATAATAATAATAATAATAATAATAATAATATTATTACTTATTAGGTACTTGTACAATAAATGTATTTAAAAATGTCCACATGATTGTTTAACGAAAGTCTAAAAGTCAAGATTGTGTTTTTGTCGAATTTTTATTAGTTATTCAATCGTTATTAATTGATATTTTAAATACATAGTACAAGTCTTAAAAGTTGTTTCAGCTTTAAGGTATCCATAAAAAAAAGGAAATACAAAGGAAATTCAATTTTAATAAATAAATTATT